CCAACACGTTGAGTGGAGTGGGTGGGACATGAATGTTATTGGCATATGTTTGACATTTATGGCATTTCCGCGCATACTGGTAACAGTCTCCTTCCATGGTCGACCAATAATATCCCGCCCTGAGGTCTCAGTTTGAGAATAAGTCATTCTAGCAATCCATACTTTTAAACAAATAAAAGAGTCCAACCATCCATCGCGAATGCCGAAAGCCCGTTTCGGGCCGGTGGCGACACTACCTACACACCATCTCACTTCCAAAATGGGATGTCTAAAGGCAGTAAAAGTCCTAAAGACTTCTAGTGTTCCACCTTAGACTTCTGGCATACTACACACGAGCACACAAATTCCTCTACTCCTCTCTTCACCTTAGGCCACCACACTTCCGTTGCGCCGCTCTGATACATCTTATTAGTTCCTAAATGAATGCTAAGAGTACTCTTTTGTCCTTTCTCTAAGATCATCTTGCTTAATTCAGGATTAAACCCTTAATAAAAAGCATGAAAACTGGGGTGTTACATCAAGCATTTTCTGTGTTATATAATTGAGGAACAATCTCAACTAAATAGAACAAAATAGAGCAAGTCAATTAAAGAGAACGGAGAGAAAAATAGAACAAGTCAATGACATTATCATTTGAAGTTTCACCAAATAGGGGAATGGAATGGGAACAGTAGTACAGTATTATATATGAGTAGTAGTGCAGTATTATTAGCAAGAGAAAAAAATGGAGAAGACATGAGCATAGAAAAAAAAAAGATGAAAAACTCACTTGAAAATTCTTGAAGCACTTGAAAAGTCACTTCAAATAATCCTCCAAAATCTGATGGATTTGGATGGGATTGTGTTATGAATTTGATATTTATAGATATCACTAAAAAGTCCTTCAAAATCCCTCTAATACAACAATCCTTTAAAATCCTTATATTTTTTTAATACTAATGGATTGTTTTTAAGTTGTAAAAAGTCTCAAATGAATACCAATGGATTTTAATGGACTCTTTAAAAAATTTTGAAAATCCATATTGAATACCATTATATTATTTTTAAGTAACATAAAATCCCGATCGAATACCAACAGAATTTTTTACTCAAAAAAAATATTTTAAAATCCTATGAAATCCTAAACCAATACACTCCCCTTAGGCTCTATATTCATTTCAATAGCTAATTTTTTATGGATTCCAAAGCAAATGAAAAACCATTTTTTCTATAGTTTTTTAAATAAGAAAATAAGACCTCTTAAATGATCTATAGCAACATCTATATAGATATCTTTAGACTATAGAACTTTACTAACATAATTAACAGCAAATAAAATGTCATACCAAATATTCATTCTTAATAAAAATTCAAAAATTTCAATTTCATAAGTTGCTAAACTCATGGCTTCACTTTTTTTTTTGAATCTTCACAATATTTTGATAATTGAATTAAAACGTCTCTTATCTTTGGTGCTTGAAACTTTATTGTTTTCACACTTTCAATTCTACTTTTCCATTAAATTTGAGATAAATAATTTATAGAAAATTTGCATATATTATTTTACAAAATTTTCCATTGTTCGACAGACGAAGCAAATAAAGAATAAATTGGTTATAAAACTCCAAAAAAAAGAAATAGCTCTATTAGATGAATTCGCCATATCACATAAAATTAAATTTAAATTATGACATCCACATGATGTGTAAAATGTTCTTCGATTTATATCTAATACTCTCTTTTGCACTCCTTGATTTTTTTCCTTCTGTTAGATCCATTCTTTATGCGCTTAACATGTTCTTGTATAATCAAATCAAATTTCGTAAGCATTTTAATCATACTCAAAAAGTTACTATTATTTTTGTCATATATTTTCTCATCTATTCCATGAAAAAAAGATTATTTTTGGAAAAATGTTTGATTATAACAATAATTCTAATTAAAACTTTTTTTTTATATTCTTTTTCTTTATTAATGTAATTTTTTTATCTATAGTATTTGTTTTAGTTAGACTCTTCTCTAATTCAATCCATCTGGTCATATTAGTGATATGCTCATGACTTGTTTCATGACTTTTGAGCTTGGATGCAAGATTTTTTCAATCTCTAATTCCTTCATTTACTAGTTGATTAAGACCATTCGAACAAAATAACTTGCAACCAAGGCAATACACTTTATCTAAGTCTCTAGAATAAATTAGCCATTTTTATGGTACTTTTCTCCATTTGACAATATTTTTTGATAAATAGATGAATAAAAATGTCTATTATTCTTATCTTTTGGAAATTGTAAATTATCATGTATATATGGACCTTTTTCTATCATTAAATTTCTAAATTTTTCATCAATGTTTTTCCATTCTCATGGATAAAAAATATTTTTCAGGAACACAACGCTTATTTCTAATAAATTATCTTCATATATTAAATTTACTATGGTCTCTACACCTAGTGAAATCGCACTACTGCTAGTGAAACTAAGAGAAATATTAAACTGGATAACTCATACATACATGTACACTGCGATGATCATACTTGGTATGGGAGCAGGTCAGGGCTAGCTTGGAGTTGAGGTGCTGTTCCAAATCCATAATGGCCCTTTCCAGATCTTTTCAGCATGTATTAAATTCTCATCTAGAACGGCCTGTTCTAAAACCATAACTGCCCGTTCTAAAGTTACACTTTAACACATAACGACCATGTTTGGAACGGCCCGTTCTAAAACCAGAACGACCCGTTCTCAACTAGGGTCACGAGCCTTTTTGGTGGTTTGGAACGCCCCGTTCCCAACTAGGATTTGTTGGCCATTTTAGTAGTTTGGAACGGCCAGTTCCAGTTTGGGAACGGCCCGTTCTGGGCTACTAAGTCATCCTGAAAATTACTAAATTACCCTTAATAAAAAGCATGAAAACTGGGGTGTTACATCAAGCATTTTCTGTGTTATATAATTGAGGAACAATCTCAACTAAATAGAACAAAATAGAGCAAGTCAATTAAAGAGAACGGAGAGAAAAATAGAACAAGTCAATGACATTATCATTTGAAGTTTCACCAAATAGGGGAATGGAATGGGAACCAACTAAGATTAAAATCCTAGTCCTTAAGAAACTTCAACTACTTCCTTTGTATCATAATCAACTCCTTTGGTCAAAAGATATTTAAGGCTCTTATGATCACTAAATACCTCAAGCTTAGAATCATGTAGGTAATGTCTCAAAATCTTCGTGTAAATATCATAACCGCTAACCCAAGATCATGGGTAAGGTAATTCCTCTTATAAATTTTCAATTGCCTAAAACATAAGCTACTACCTTTCCTTCTTGCATCAATACTCCATCTAAATCTATCTTTAGAAGCATCACTATATACCACGAAAGGCTTACTAAAATCCGATAATATTAACACTAGTCAATCTTTCCTTAAGAATTTGGAAACTGCTTTCACACTTACTATCCCACACAAAGACAACACTCTTCCTAGTCGACCTAGTCAAAGGTAATGCTATATTAGAAATTTCCTCAATAAATCTCCTATAAACTATCCCAAAAAACTCCTAACCTCACTAATTGACTTAGGTATCTCCCACTTAAGCACCACTTCTACCATAGGTAGATCTACATTATACCTATGCTAGAAATTACAGGGCCTAGAAAACTCACTTCATACAATAAAAAATCACACTTAGATAACTTAACATAAAGCTATCTTGGATATATCCTCATCCTCAACTCCAATATGATGATATCACCCTAAGGTCAATCTTACTAAACACACAAACACTCACTAATTAATCCATAAGGTCATTTATCCTCATCTCAACATACACGCATATCAAATCAAAATCTAAACAAGATACAGACAAATCCAAATTTTGGACACAAGAGACAGAAATAAAGAAATGAGTTGCACTAGAATCAAACAGTACAACAAAAGGAGTCTCAGCTATGAAACAAGCACCTTGTATCAAATTTTATGACCGAGCAGCTTCAGTACCACCAAGAGCAAATATTCTACCTACAGCCTTTGGATTCTCAATTTGGACATCCGATCCAATAACACGTGGTCTTGGTGATTCAAGACACTGGGTGCTGATGTGACCCTTTCCTCTACAATTGAAACATGTGACCTCATTGTCAAGACATTTATAGCTAGTGTTACCACTTCGGCCACACTTCTTACATCGATCCGTGGGAGTAAAAACAAAGCCTCCAACACTCCCTATGCCACTCACCATAGAGCTTCCAGCATAAGGCTTGCTTCCTGTACATGTGACTTGCTCCCACTAGCAGCAACTTGATTCCCTTGGAACTTAGCAGGAGTAGAGTAAGGTTTACTCTTACTTGAAGCACCAGAACTTATAGTATCCATAGGACCTCTAGCTCCCTTGTAGAAAGCGACACGTGCACGATTTTCACGATCATAGATTCTACACTTGTTGTCAAGCGTTAGGTAGTGATAAATCTCTTGATAATTGATTATTGTCTTTACCTCAGGCGAAGGCCATTCACGAACTTAATGCACTTAGCCCTTTCACCACCCTCACCATGGTAGTGACTACAATAACGAACCAAAGCATCAAATTTGGAAGCATACTCTGCCACTATATCATTCCCTTGCTTCAGATCAAGGAATTCCACTTCCTTCTGACTCCTCACATCATCCGAAAAATACATCTCAAGGAAGACCCTCTTGAAGTTGTCCCAATTCAAGTTCTCTCCTTCATCAATCATCCTCTAAAGTGCTCCTTCCCACCAAAAATGGGCATTAGCAGTCAACATAAAGGTAGCCAACTTCACCTTCTAAGCAAGGGGACACTCTATTGCATTAAAGATCTTCTCGATCTCCATTATCCAATTCATCGCAGCATCTGGGTCATATCCTCATTTGAAGGTAGGTGAATGATTTCGCTAAAATTGCTCCAACCAGTTAGGAGCGACTTCAGCCCTATTGTTGTTACTCATAGCTTGTGCTAACTCAGCAATCACACGATCATTTCTACCATCCATAATCTAAGAAAACTGTACACACAATTAAATAAACAACAGACATAATCAATCATCGTGCTAGCATCAGTTTCACAATCAATTCATTCCATCACTCATCTACCAAACAAGCACAGTAGACTCATAAATCACGGGCGATTGGATCGACCTGCTCTGATACCACTAAATGTGACACCCTCTACCCCAACATACATATATAATCATTTAAAAAAATTAATTAAAATTTTTCATAAATAAAACCAAATTCTCAAATATCTTACGTAGAGGATTCACATTCATAAACTCATAAACAATATCTTCAACACAGAAATTACAAAGAAATAAAATTGAGTTTTCAAATAGTTTAATGGAAATAGCATCCTAAACTAAGCCTAGTTATGCCCCGATGTCACATATCCTATCAGAGCATCTTAACTGAAACCTAAGCCTCATCACCAACATCCTCATGCTGATGATTACCTGTAACACAATTTAAACACAGAAAAATAACAACAAGGGAGTGAGAAACATCTCACTCAGGTTCAGGTGCAGAAATAAAGGTTAGATAGCACACACACACACAACAAACATATTACAAGTCATAAACACCAATCACATATAAACAATACATATATATAATCAATGTCACATGTATACTCATTTATCATGCAATGATATCATAGACTCGACTCATAAAAGCATGTGGCGCCAGTCACGTGTCTCATCACATATCTCATCATTTCATCATTGGTGACTCAAGGTACACCTTGTTAGCCTATTACATCACCGGTGACCCTAAGGTACACCTTGTTAGCTTGTTGCATCACCAATGACCCTAAGGTACACCTTGTTACCTTGTTACATCACCAGTACCCTAAGGTACACCTTGTTAACTTGTTACATCACTAGTGACCCTAAGGTACACCTTGTTAGCTTGTTGCATCACCAGTGCCCCTAAGGTACACCTTGTTAGCTCATCTATGCACATGATGCATGTCACACATTCATTATTTCATTGACTCAACATTTCACTTGTCATGAAATTTCAGGTCTCGTCACATTCATCACATTTCACATTCTCATAGTCATAGCTTATCTCATTTCATCATATTTCACATTCTCATAGCTTATCTCATTACATCACGTTTCACAATAGCACATTTCATTCACATCATGTCTCATGTCATTTGTTCATATTTCACATAGTAATACTTATAAATATTTCTCATAGGGTTTCGCACAGGAACCCACAGAGCACTCTAATTCATATCAAACTTATCTAATTTCGAAATCAATTACATATTTATTCTCTACATCACACAAGGAACACAACAGAACATTCAAAAAGTAAAACAGAAAACATTCATATTTTACCTGTTTTCTCATAGGGTTTCCCGTAGAAACCCACATAGCACTCTAATTCATATCAAAACTTATCTAATTTCAAAATCAATTAAATATTAACACACCACATCCAACAAGGAACACAACAGAGCAATTAGAAATCAAAACATAAAACATTTATATTTTCCCTGTTTCTCATTGGGTTCTTTCAAGAACCCACAGAGCACTCTAACTCATATAAAAGCTTATCTATTTTTAAAATTAAACACATATTTACACTCAACATCACACAAGGAGCATAACAAGACATTCAGAAAGAAAAACAGAAAATATTCATATTTTGCCTATTCCTAGAAGCATGCATTAGGCAAGGGATTGGGGGCCAATCCTACTACCCAACAATTATTCCCACACCCCCGAGCGAGATTTCTCACTCCCCCTTACTTGGATGAGCAAAAGATGAAGCTAGAGCGAAATCTGGTCAATCTCCTTCTATTGGTTCTCCTTGGTCTCTAGAGAGTGTGTCTAGAAACACTGCTAGAGTGTTTTATTTATAGATTTCAGGAGTAGCCAGAAAGGCCTGTTCCAAATCCATAATGGCCCTTTCCAGATCTTTTCAGCATGTATTAAATTCTCATCTAGAACGGCCTGTTCTAAAACCATAACTGCCCGTTCTAAAGTTACACTTTAACACATAACGACCATGTTTGGAACGGCCCGTTCTAAAACCAGAACGACCCGTTCTCAACTAGGGTCACGAGCCTTTTTGGTGGTTTGGAACGCCCCGTTCCCAACTAGGATTTGTTGGCCATTTTAGTAGTTTGGAACGGCCAGTTCCAGTTTGGGAACGGCCCGTTCTGGGCTACTAAGTCATCCTGAAAATTACTAAATTACCCTTAATAAAAAGCATGAAAACTGGGGTGTTACATCAAGCATTTTCTGTGTTATATAATTGAGGAACAATCTCAACTAAATAGAACAAAATAGAGCAAGTCAATTAAAGAGAACGGAGAGAAAAATAGAACAAGTCAATGACATTATCATTTGAAGTTTCACCAAATAGGGGAATGGAATGGGAACAGTAGTACAGTATTATATATGAGTAGTAGTGCAGTATTATTAGCAAGAGAAAAAAATGGAGAAGACATGAGCATAGAAAAAAAAAAGATGAAAAACTCACTTGAAAATTCTTGAAGCACTTGAAAAGTCACTTCAAATAATCCTCCAAAATCTGATGGATTTGGATGGGATTGTGTTATGAATTTGATATTTATAGATATCACTAAAAAGTCCTTCAAAATCCCTCTAATACAACAATCCTTTAAAATCCTTATATTTTTTTAATACTAATGGATTGTTTTTAAGTTGTAAAAAGTCTCAAATGAATACCAATGGATTTTAATGGACTCTTTAAAAAATTTTGAAAATCCATATTGAATACCATTATATTATTTTTAAGTAACATAAAATCCCGATCGAATACCAACAGAATTTTTTACTCAAAAAAAATATTTTAAAATCCTATGAAATCCTAAACCAATACACTCCCCTTAGGCTCTATATTCATTTCAATAGCTAATTTTTTATGGATTCCAAAGCAAATGAAAAACCATTTTTTCTATAGTTTTTTAAATAAGAAAATAAGACCTCTTAAATGATCTATAGCAACATCTATATAGATATCTTTAGACTATAGAACTTTACTAACATAATTAACAGCAAATAAAATGTCATACCAAATATTCATTCTTAATAAAAATTCAAAAATTTCAATTTCATAAGTTGCTAAACTCATGGCTTCACTTTTTTTTTTGAATCTTCACAATATTTTGATAATTGAATTAAAACGTCTCTTATCTTTGGTGCTTGAAACTTTATTGTTTTCACACTTTCAATTCTACTTTTCCATTAAATTTGAGATAAATAATTTATAGAAAATTTGCATATATTATTTTACAAAATTTTCCATTGTTCGACAGACGAAGCAAATAAAGAATAAATTGGTTATAAAACTCCAAAAAAAAGAAATAGCTCTATTAGATGAATTCGCCATATCACATAAAATTAAATTTAAATTATGACATCCACATGATGTGTAAAATGTTCTTCGATTTATATCTAATACTCTCTTTTGCACTCCTTGATTTTTTTCCTTCTGTTAGATCCATTCTTTATGCGCTTAACATGTTCTTGTATAATCAAATCAAATTTCGTAAGCATTTTAATCATACTCAAAAAGTTACTATTATTTTTGTCATATATTTTCTCATCTATTCCATGAAAAAAAGATTATTTTTGGAAAAATGTTTGATTATAACAATAATTCTAATTAAAACTTTTTTTTTATATTCTTTTTCTTTATTAATGTAATTTTTTTATCTATAGTATTTGTTTTAGTTAGACTCTTCTCTAATTCAATCCATCTGGTCATATTAGTGATATGCTCATGACTTGTTTCATGACTTTTGAGCTTGGATGCAAGATTTTTTCAATCTCTAATTCCTTCATTTACTAGTTGATTAAGACCATTCGAACAAAATAACTTGCAACCAAGGCAATACACTTTATCTAAGTCTCTAGAATAAATTAGCCATTTTTATGGTACTTTTCTCCATTTGACAATATTTTTTGATAAATAGATGAATAAAAATGTCTATTATTCTTATCTTTTGGAAATTGTAAATTATCATGTATATATGGACCTTTTTCTATCATTAAATTTCTAAATTTTTCATCAATGTTTTTCCATTCTCATGGATAAAAAATATTTTTCAGGAACACAACGCTTATTTCTAATAAATTATCTTCATATATTAAATTTACTATGGTCTCTACACCATCCCCCCCTCCTTTTAAAAATTTCGTCCCCGAAATTACTTGAAGCAAATAAAATGGCTATGTCTCCTGCCTTAGACTTCTGGAATACTACACACGAGTCCACAACTTTCTCTACTCCTCCCTTCACCTCAGACCACCACGCTTCCGCTGCGCCACTCTCATACATCCTCCTATGGTCCTAATCCATCTTAATAGCTCCTAAGTGAATACTAAGAGTACTCTTATTGCCTTCTTCCTTAATTCGGGATTATTAGGCACATAGATTTTATCCTGAAACCACAAAACACCATCAACTTCCACTCGAAAAGGGTTATCTATACCTTTACCAATCCTCTCCACTTGGTTCACTAAGAAAGGATCTAACTCTTAGGCTCCTCTAATCTCATCCATTAATTCACTAGTCACCTTCGACATACTCAATTCAATGCTTCTAAGGGTAAGCTCACAAATCAAGCTTAAATCTCTAAACTCTTCAATCAAATTTAACCTTTAAAT